TTTTTTTTTTTTTTTTCAGTAGTGATGGGGTCTCGCTTTTGCTCAGGCTGGTCTTGAATTCGTGATCTCAAGCTATATACCTGCCTCAGCCTCCCAGAGTGCTAGGATTGCAGCCATGATCCCCTGCGCCCAGCCTCTATTTTAAATCTTAAATAATGTCTTTTAATTCAGGGTTTATTATAATCTGTGTACTTTGAAGCATCTTGTAACATAAAATAGCATTGAAAACAGCTACTAGAACCACAGAATGTTTATTTTGGAGTATATTTTCTTAGACTCTTGGTTGGAGCAAGTTGGGACTCAGACTCCATGACCTTGTCCTACGGCTGTACTCAGCCCAGTCAGCTTCTGGGCCCTCGCATGTCTAGTACCCACAGCAGGAAAGACTTGTTACTCAGACACGGCCTAAATTTCATATGGGCCAAAGAATAACTCAAATTAGAAATGGAGGTCTCACCTCATTTGGGTAAAGATTAGTGCTACTTACTGAAGATTTAGTAATAAATGATCTGGTAAGGAATTTGATCTTTTCTGGTTATATTGTTTTGGTTGTTTGAAAACTAGGGTCTAATTATTTAACAGTTTCTTTTAAAGATTTAGGTAGCTATCTGGATAGGGCAAGTGGATCATTCCTGTAATCCCAGCACTCTGGGAGGCCAAGGAAGGTGTATTGCTTGAGCTCAGGAGTTCCAAACCAACCTGAGCAAAGGCAAGACCCCATCACTACTAAAAATGGAAAAATCAGCGGTATTGTGTCAAGCGCCTGTAGTCCCAGCTACTGGGGAGTCTGAGGCAAGAGTATTGCTCAAGCCCAAGAGTTTAAGGTTGCTGTGAGCTATGACGCTACAGCACTCTACCCAGGGTGACAGAATGAGACTCTTGTCTCAAAAAGATTTGGGTAGCTATCGTTTAGAAATTAGAGAGTTTGCCCTATCAGACCATCAGAAATCCTCACATTTTTAAAACATTCGTAGTGAACAATGAACAGAACAATTTAAGTCTACTCATGTAGTAAAGCTGTGTATTGTGACCATTAAAACACTGAGAGTCTGGGGTTCCAAATTTAAATCTAGATTCTGCCTCTTCCCAAACTTCAGGTACCTTCTACAGCCTCTTTTATCTTAATGATTTGATTTGTAAAATGAGGACATTTGATAGTACCTAGCTCAGGGTTGTGAAGATTAACACTTGAGAGAGCTGGCCTGAGAGTGAGTTTAGTGAGTGTTGCTGAGATGACTTCTTAGGGTTACAAACAAGAAGGCCCCATGGGCTGCTGTCCTTGCTGTTTCAAAGGTCTCTGATACCACAACTGTGGTCGTTGGTTTTCTATGTATCAAGACTCAGATCCTCTGTCACTTGGTGTAGTCAACTACCATTAAATAAGCTCCTACAAAATGTGCATTTACATTTGTGCTGATCTCATGTCTGTAGCCATTGGTCTGTTCTTTGCTATGTAGCTGGCTGCCTTTGAGCTCGCTCCAGAACCATAAAAACATTGAAGGGGTACTATATTAGAGTTAGTGCAGCTCAACACAGTCATTTTTTAGCCAAATGCTCAGTAAATTTTCTGACAAAATATATAGCTACCTGATTAAAAAGCTCTGCCTCCTGGCTGTCTCTTCCAAAAGGTAGAGAAGTGAGTTCCTCTAGGTTCTCAGCATGGCATGTCCTGAGCGCAGTGTTATTTCTTCGTGACAGATAGAGTATTCTGGGTAGGCTGAGGCTCACCATCCCCACACTGTATCCTTCAGTACTTCTCCCTGGAGAGCTTCAAGCTGTCTTGGTTTGTCCTTGGTTTGCTTTATGAAGTACCGGAGCCAACTTCATGAGTGCTGGAGGCACTGGAGATCAGAGAGGATGGCCACAGGTCACCTAGCTGTGTAATGCCAGGGGTACAGGACTCAGGCCTGTAACACTTTCAGAGAAAACTTCATTCACAAAGACTAATATTGTTACATTTTAAAGACTAAGTTTTTCTTGTACCTTAATATTATAAATGATGATAATGTTAAGATTAATATTTTATATAGCATTTAGAATCAAATTATTATTTGTTTAGTTCCATAAATAGAAGTATCTCAATACAAATAAAATATATTATTTGGGACATTGATTACACTGTGTGTGCTTCCATTTTTTAAAGAAAAAGTAACCACTTGAAATAAATGGATCATAAAAACCCTACTTACTATACTCCTGCTATTGGATGAAGGGGTTTGGCCTAGATTGGATGAAAAATATGTGTGCACACATCAGTTTTCCAAGTGTTTGATGATGTATAAGGTGCTAGAGGGAAGAGCACACAGGTTTCCACGTAGAATGTTCAATAGCTGACAGTGCTGTCGCTGTCGTCGGGAGAAGGGTGTCGTGTTGTGCTGCAAAGGGCCAAAATAAAGATGATTTTGAAATGTCTTAAAAGTTGATGTATTAGGGAAAAGAGCAGCTATAGATTGAGGCTGAGGGAAATGTATCAACATTAGAATGGATTTGAGGGAATCTGAAGTAGAATCTAAAAGGCTGCCCAGTTAGTAGGGTAAGTAGTAAAGTCAAAACAATCTGCAATAGAATTGTTGTAACAATTAGTTACATTAGGTTCATAGTTGTAACAATCTGGAATAGAATCTTATTATACTAAAGTAGCTACAGTTGATTCTTTTTTTTTTTTTTAGAGACAGTCTTACTTTATCATCCTCGGTAGAGTGCTGTGGCATCACAGCTCACAGCAACCTCCAGCTCTTGGGCTTAGGTGATTCTCTTGCCTCAGCCTCCCAAGTATCTGGGACTACAGGTACCCACCACAACGCCTGGCTATTTTTCTGTTGCAGTTTTTGCCGGGCCTGGGTTCGAACCCGGTATATGGCGCCAGCGCCGTATTCTCTGAGCCACAGACGCTGCCCACTACAGTTGATTTTTTATTACCTCATTTTTAGTTTAGAAATGAGAAAAAAAATCTTTGGTTGTAAAATTACCTACCCAAGTCACACAGAGTGAGCAACACTGGGAGGGAGGAAGAGAAGGTGAGTGATATGAAAGCAGGGGTCTGGAGGTCTTTGCTGCAAAGTCACCAACTCCCCCAAATTGGACTCGGCCTCCTGGTGCCAGATGTCAAAGAAGACAGCCCTGGCAACTCCATAGTTACCTCACTTTTTAGAAAAGTGAGCTGTCAGACCATCAGAAATCCTCATATTTTAAAACACCCATAGTGAACAAAAACAAAATTTAAGTCTACTAATGTAAAGCTGCATGTTGTGATTGTTAAAACACTTTAGGAGTTGAGATTCCAAATTTAAATCTTGATTTTTCCATTAAGTTTTTTGTTTGTTGGTTTGTTTTTTGCAGTTTTTGGCCAGGGCTGGGTTTGAACCTGTCATCTCCAGTATATGGGGCCAGCGCCCCACTCCTTTGAACCACGGGTGCCACCCCTCCCCATTAAGTTTTTTTTGTCTCATCACACACCCAAGAAAATCCATCTCAATAGACAGAGGCCCTCAGTGCAACATTTCTGTTTCTTTGAGGGGGAGATGTGGGTAGGGAAGGCATTCCGGGGGTGGG